CTGCGAACGGCGCCGGCACAAAGGCGGCTTTGCCTTGCTGGATACGGGGAAACTTTCTAACTGAAACGACTGCCAAACCAGAGCTAAAATAATTATGGATGTTGGTTCACCAGTCATAGTAACTACACTTACCCGTAACGGTATATATATATTTTTTCCCCTGATTAACATTTTCAGAGGAAGGGAATATGCCATCGAATTACCCTAACCATTGCTTGTCCGCTTATCAGGGCCTAGACTCGTGTGAGGTTAAGTGGGGTGCTCGTCCTGGGTGCAGAATTTAAGGGAGCACCCAAAAGCTCAGTAATAAGGTACTTAAATAAATGAAAATTAATGCAAAAAAATGTGATCAAAAAATCAAAATCCTAGATAAAGGCAGAATCAATATTAATGATTTTTCTTTTTGTCTAAGGCTCCCATGTGGCTTGGCAAGGTACTGTTACCTATCCTGTCTTTATTTAAAATTTTGATATTTACTTCATCATGAATGTTTTGCATTAATTTTCTTTTTAAAAAAACATTGCATTAAAATATCACTTATCTTGATTACTGTGGTGTTCAGTTTTGAGGTTTTTTTGTTGCTGCGGTGGTGTGGTTTTTTTATACCCCCTTAAATTTTGTGCCCAAAGCAAGTGCCTCACCCTAGTCTCAACACTGCTGGTTAGTATTTATTTTAGTGAGATATTTGGGTTTTTATTATGGTCAGAGCTGAACTGATTTGCTTGTCATTTTTAGGCAATAAAAAAATGTCATTGAACTTAATGTTGATTATGATGCATATATCATTCATTAAGACATCAGAAACCAAAGATCTAAATTACCCAGGAAATTTGAGGTTATTTCTTTCCCTAAGCAACCAGGGGCTTTTGCATATTATTTTCTACATTTCACCAAAGGAGGAGCAAAGAGGGGAACTTGGCATGTCAGAAATCTAAAATCTGTAAGAAAACTGACACAGAGCAGGATAATGTCACAAGCTAAAAGCCAGAGAAAAGTACCAACATTCTTGGTCCAGCAAGACAGTAAATACTGTCCTTGCAGCAAGAAAGCTCTAAGCAGCTGGGGGTAAAGAGGTAATGGGTGTGGGTGTGAGAAAACTGCCAGCTGTTTAGGACAGGAATTGTGGGATCCAACTTGTGAAATTCCTCATATTTTGCAAACCAAAAGGACAGGGGGGTGACAAACTTATGTGTCAAATAAACAAATGTCACTTTCAATATATTCTGAGATTCTGTTCAACATTCACTCACCCTTAATATCAAGTATCCCTTGGACTCTGCCTTGTAGAAATCCTGATAACACACTGGTAATTTTGTGGGGTTCAGTTCTTTGTTAATAGAAACCAGCCATCAAGTACTGCAAACTATTTATTTATCAAGGATTACTTCAGATATAAATATAAACTGGCAATTGTTTTCAACCAATTCATGAATTTAGTTCATAAAAATAATAAGCTGCAATGCTTAAAACTCTTCATAGTAAAATTTAGAACAGGAAAATCTGACCTGGGAAAAATCAGATTAAAAAATAATGGCCACACACACACACACACACACACACAAACACAAAAAAAACTCTTAGTGGCACAAGTGATAATTGGTAACATTTGGTATGAACAAAAGAAAATTTGATAAATAAAAATCTTCATTGTAAAATTTAAATTGTAAAGAAACCTCATGGGAATAAAATTAGTACAATAAATTTAATATGAAATGGGAAACAATTTTATTGTGTTGGGTAGAAAATCAGGAAATGAAATTGACATAATGGCATTCATTCCATGAAATTCTTTCTTGACAAAAACATTTTTCAACAGTTATATAGTTCTGATTAAAATATTTTATCCATAGATATAGAGTCAAAATGTCCTAAGGTGAAAACAGCAAGATCAGAATATCCAGTTGTTCAAAATGGCAGGGTCAAAACATTTGGCCACAGCTCGGGGCATTCTGACTGACTGGAACTGCTTCAGTTCAGAAGTACCAAATATTTTATAAGCCTTATAAGTACCTTCTTTATAATTTACCATTTCACCTCAACAAGTTAGGACTGCTATGGCATGCATCTGACACTCTGGCTCTGAGAAACTACTCAGTTATAGGATGCCACGATTTAGGTTGTACCAACTTGTTCAGGGTGCAGCATCATTGACATTTTAAATTGTAGACTGCATTCAGGGGGCTTATAGAAGTCTCTTGCCATCACTGGGTTTGAGAAGCTATAGTTAGCCAAGATGCTTTGGGGAAATCAGAGCATAAGACCTGGACCCTGCTCTATCTGCTATTACTGGAACTGGTTTATGAGATTGCAGCGGTAGAAAAAGTGCCAAGTTCATGGTCAAAATTAAGACTTTAGTGTTGCAGATTCCAGTGACTTCTTACTCAGTTGCCCTTTCCCTTTGAGTAATCAGCTGGCCAAATACTACATAACCAAATCAAGAGAGTTAAAAATGAAAACAACTTATGACCTCATTGTTCATTCAAAACTAAGATCAAGAAGTACTCTTCATAACCAACGTTCCATTTATTCAATTGTCCCAAAGAATTTCCTTCCCTACATCCTAGATGAATATCCCTCAGCCTTCAAGGCGCAGCTGACATCCTACTTCCCCCAAGGCCTCCCCACATAGTTCCATCCACTTTCTCCATTCTGTCCTCTTCTTGGGGACCTTTTGTCACACACTCCCTTGCACCATTACTTAACCCTTGCAATTCCCCTTTTCTGAAAGTTGTGAGAACAGTGCAGTAATGCCCACAAAATTCACAATAAGGAAAATAAGACTAAGTCCCAAGAATTAATTGATGAAATGGCCACAACACTGCACATCCTCCCAGGCCTGAAAAACATGTTTGTAAATCAGATGGGAGGTATGAAGCAATCCAAGGGGAGCATGAGTCTTTTAGAGGCAGTGGCAGGGTCATGGGTGGGTTTGGTGACAGCCAGGAGTGGTCAGCCTTGAAAGCGCAGAATAAAGTGATCCGCAAAGGAAAGGTTAACTGCACTGTCCACGCCAGTCTTCAGGCAGGGCACAGTCGTGGAGGCCTGTAAGCAGGACAGTATTGTCCAGCAGAGCCCCTCCCAAACTGACTTGAGAATCTACCCAGCCGGAGAGATATAAACCTACTGTAGAGACCGTCATATGGCCCAGTTCCTGTTATCTTTTCTGCATCTCCATTTGCCTCTCCGCATAGCAACCAAACACCACACTACAGACGCACTGGATTAGCTACCAGGCTTTCTCTTGCCTTCAGAGCTTTTGCTCCCTCCACGCAGCTTCCCCCGCAGTGTCCGGCTAAGTCATCCCTCAGCTCTCCGCTACGACATCACTATCTCCAGGAAACCCTCCCTGATCCCTCGCCAGGTCTGGGTCAGGCCCTTCCTTATGTGCTCACATAGAAGCTTTTGGTTTCAATCATGTATGTCCCCCTTTGTTATAATGGTCTCAAAATTTGCTTGTCTCTCTGCTCCATGAGGGCAGGGGCTGCGCCTATTTTGGTCACCAGTGTATCTCTAACACATAGTTGTTAGTCTGTTTGCTGAATGAATGCATTAATTAACTTATCAATCAAGCTAACAAACCATCAAATCATCTAAATTCTTATTCTAATCTCATGATCATTAAGTGACCTTAACAGCCGTCTCTAATCTACTTTAGTTATATTTCTAATATTAAAATAATTGCCATTTTTGTTTTATACATCAGTCTCATGAGCTTTGTCAAAATGAGTTCGCCATTGAGCACAGCTCTGGAATATAGATTTAGTTTTGGGGCTTAGCACTGAAAGCAGAATCTGGGTTTCCCAAGGACCCCCCAACAGAAAGGTCCGCTTGTTTTCCCCCAGAAGCATCATAGTGAACTTATTTCCATTTTGAACTTCAACACTTAGTAGAGCACTACAAATGCAGGCTCTCAATAAACACTTGTCGCAGGAATAAATGACCATAGAAACACTACGTATCTTCAACAAATTCACACATAGACACTGTCCTTTCAGGTATTTATAGAATCTCACTATATCACTTTCCTCTCCAGAGGCCCAAAGCTCTGGTGGTTTTTTGTTGCTCTTGTTTTAATGAATATGTTGGGGGTGGGAAATCGTTTTCCCTTTGCCCTTCTAGGATCTTGGCTGAGACCCTTCCCACCCCCATAATAAAAGACAGATTAACAGGAGAAACACAAACAGAAGCTTGATAACATGTACACGAGGGAGAGTCCCAGGGAGAAGGAGTAGCTCCCCCAAATGACCCAAGCCATCAGCTTGAGTAACATCTCAAACTAAAGACAAAAGCAAATGTTGGTGAGTGGGGTGGGGAGCCGGTGAA